CACATGCATGGCATTTGTTGTATGCTGTACCACCATGAGAGGACAAGGAGGGTTAAGTACCATAGCTCAGTGCCGATTTGTTACACTGTCATTTAGAGACTAGCATCACCGACTTTAATAAAAGAATGCCTTGGGGTTGGCAATGAAACTGTATTGTGCCAGTCCAATTAAATAATTAAATTAGATTTTCCACACCCCCTCCCACACTCACCCCCTCTCGGGCGCTTACGCGCCCTCGAATTGAATTCACTCGTAGAAGTGCGCCCCCCCCCCCACTTTCAAAATCGCTCCAAAGCCTATGTTAAGGATGATGATAATGATAATGATGATAATGACACCTACAGTAATTGTAATAATGATGATCATGCCAACGCCCTGTCTAGAGCCACAGGTAGAACACCAGAGAAAGAAGTCCTGTGCCTCTTGGGGCTAGAGCCGTCACAAGCAAGCATATTCATTTATTCTCAGAGATTTCCTTTTTTTTTGGATGAATTAGATTAATCAAATTTTGAAACAGTCGGGGGTTCGTGAGAGAGAGAGAGAGAGAGAGAGAGAGAGAGAGAGAGAGAGAGAAGGATAAGTCCGATATGCGAAGCTGAGCCTCGCCTGGGCTATGGGGGAGCCCGGCCTGTGCCGACTAATGTCGACTCGCTAACAGTGTGTCAGCAGGTGATGACTCGGATGAGCTTAGTCCTTACCCACCGTGGTGCCCAGCCACAGCAGTAACCTCCAGGCGACAATTGCAACTTCTCGCGCCTGGGCGGGGCGCGAACCGCCGACCCCTCGGATGAGAGGCCGACACGTTACCACTGTACTAGCCCGGAGGCTGAGAGAGAGAGGGGGGGGGGGAGTTGAAATTGAAGAGTACAGAACCGCTACAGTCAGTGAGAACCAGCATTAAAATCAACGAAACTGCATCGTGGAAAATATCACAATTAGGCTACCTCTCGCCTCAAAGCAAACAACTTACCTGTATATTGCTTTGTATAAACTCAAGTTCTATATACGAGTACGTAATTATACAGCTCGTGGCATTAATTGTCTTGGCGCACGTAGCTCGTGACAGCGTGGCCAAGTAATACCACTCCCTTAGAAAGTGAATTCTACTCATTTCTGTATTCTAATTTCTCTCAGATCACGCCAAAATCCGGATTCATTAAGGATAAATTGTACACAAGTACTGCGCCAGCTCGGGAGCAATATGAAGACGCGTTCGGAAGGATTTTTGCTCATGCCGTGATCTCTAAGGCAGTTTGGCGTTGAGGATGGGTTCATACGTGCGTTCGTTTGCATCGGGATCCCATTGTAAACTTTTACCTTTTTTAATGCAGTCCATATCATTATGACCCGAAATGATCTATTAGAAACAGTAGTTACGTCCGTTGCGCATGCCATCTAGCGAGTTCTAATGCTTGTTTCAGATGTAGTTTGTTGACAGTACAATATTTCGGTGGGATGAACTCTCTAATGAAGCTGTTACGACCTCAGGGATAACACCAAAGTCAGTGTTCTACAATAAACGTGTTCCATCTGCCGGAGTTCTTCACTTCCCAACCACCTTCCCTTCACCACAAGGTAAACCCAATCTGCACCTTTTAATTGTAAAGAATATGGATGTAGCAGTCGGATAGGAAAATACGACGACTGAGAAGGGTTCAGGTTTGAAAGGGGTCAGGGGCCAGGGATAGGGATAGGGAAATAAGGTGTTTTATGAGGAGGTGCGAGGGAGGATCCCCCACTCCTCCACCTCCTCCCCTCTTCCTCTTCCTCCCCCTCCTCCTCCTCTTCCTCCCCCTCCTCCTCCTTCTCCTCCTCCTCCTCCTCCTCCTCCTCCTCCTCCTTCTCCCCTCCTCCCCCTCCTCCTCCTACCCCTCCTCCTCCTACCCCCCTCCTCCCCTCCTCCTCTTCCTCCCCCACTCCTCCTCCTCCTCTTCCGCCCCCACTCCCCCTCCTCCTCCTCCTCCTCCCCCACTCCTCCTCCTCCTTCCCCTCTTCCTCCTCCTTCCCCTCCTCCTCCTCTTTCCCCTCCTCCTCCTCCTTCCCCTCCTCCTCCTCCTCCTCCTCCCACCCCCCACCCCTCGCCTCCCCGGATTCTTGTTTATTTTCCTGGAGAAAAAGATGACATACGCCTAGGAAATTGTTGACTTTTGATTATACTTCGCAATCAACTCCGTGGCCATTGTTAATCTGCAAATTAATAGGAGATAGTATCATCAGGATACACACACACTCAAATACATACATACAACCACATATATACATACGCACATACACATACATACATATATATGCACACGCACACACACACATACACAAACACGCAGGCATACACACACAAACACACACACATACACACACATACACACACACACACACACACACACACACACACACACACACGCACACGCACGCACACACACATACACGCGCGCACACACACATACACACACGCACACACATACACAAACACACACACATACACACACACAAACACACACACAAACACACACACAAACACACACACACAAACACATACACACACACACATACACACATACATTCACATGCATACACTTCCACACATAAATACATACTCGCATATACACACAGACATACACAGTCACATACACACAAGCACTCACATACATACGTAAATACACAGACAGACACACACACACACACACACACACACACACACACACACACGCACGCACGCACACACACACGCACACACACACATACACGCACACGCATTCTCTTCCACTTCCACACATAAATACATACTCACATATACACACAGACATACACACTAACATACATACACGCACGCACATACATACACAAATACACACATACACATACAGAAATACACACACACACACACACATACAGAAATATGCGTGCGTGCGTGCGTGTGTGTGTGTGTGTGTGTGTGTGTGTGTGTGTGTGTGTGTGTGTGTGTGTACATATATACATATTAGATATGTGTGGGGGGGGGGGGGTGTAGAGCGCCTCTGCGTCCTGGAATATGACCAAAAACTATACCTTGGTTTGGTAGTGTCTGAGGATTTCTCGACTGTTATATTCCCAGGTCACCCTTAAGTAAAGAGCAGCCCCTTTAAGCTCCCCTAGCCAGATCTGGGGGCGCGATGGTCCAGTGGTTAGAGCATCGAACTTCGTCGGCAAATGCAGGTTCGAGGGTTCGAGTCCCGGCCGGCGCGTTGTTCCCTTGGGCAAGGAGCTTCACCTTGGCTGCCCGATTGTAGATGGCCATATTCATTAAATATGATGAGCTCCTTTGTGAGCCAACGGCCATCCATACCTGGAGAGGAGAGGGACGCCACCAGGTTACTGTCCTATGAAACACAATGATGCACACGCCAAAGACTTCTAAGATCGGGATAGGTGGAAGAAGGAAGTGAACGCAGCAAAGTGCCCCGACGGTCATGTGACTATGGCAATGAAAAAAAGAAGAAAAAAAAGCCAGGTCTATCTGGTTCCGGATGACACTGCAGCAGGACTGACCGTCAGATCAGAGATAAATCGAGTTAGTTCTCAACAGAAACAAAAATTCACACCACATCGCCCGTCGCTTGGGTGAACTAGGGGCGCGCTGCTCAGTGAGTATCCAAGCTCGCAACGATAAGCATGCTACTTGAAAACACAAAAACTCCAACTGAGAAACACCTTGAAACTGGGAACTTGGAACGTTAGGAAAATGAAAGAATATGGTAAAGTCAGAATAGTTTGTAATAAAATGGATAGATATAACATCCAAATCCTCGGAATCTGTGAAACCAGCTGGAAGTTTTAAAACCAAAGAAAACAAGACTGTTATTCTCAGGTAAATAAGAAGGTACCTACAGCCACGGAGTCGCTATGAGCCTTGCTAAAGAAACGTACCAATACTTCTGGGACATGTGCTACGGACACTCTTGATAGCATCCTGCTAATAAACATGGTCATGGGAAATAGAGGAAAGGGAAGGCCTTAGGCTAACTATAGTGATAAAATCCAAGAAATTAGTAGTCTGTCTATGGCTGAAGAAAAAAGGCTGGCAAATGGTAGAAACCAATGAAGAATAATGGAGAAAAGGGCCACAGGTATTCAGTTCTGAACTATCTGTCCTTGATGATGATGATGATGATGAGGGCGCTCTGTACACGTGAATTTTAAAGGACTAAATACACTATAATTCATACAGTAGGAATTAGATGTATTTAATCACTTTCATTATGAATGCATCGTATAATATGAAAACATACGGCAGATTAGGTATCTAGGATTTGTTTTTTTCTATGTTATTAATAATGAAGACAATTAAAATATTAGCGACATGGTATCGCTTGATTGATTTTTTTAGCACAATTTACCATAAACTGAAGCAGTTCTTTTCTGCGGTGGTAAACTATCAGTTGTCAACGAACAGTCAAATGGAAGTAAATTCTAAGTTAACTGAAATTCATTATCCTATTTCAGGGGTTACTCCATATGTTATCCCATACACTCGAAAAGCTTCTGGGATAATTGTTGACCTTAGTGAAAATGCGTAGGGCTATCTTGCTAAAGGTGGTTACGGGAAGGTGTATCTTAGGAAGTTGCCTGACGGCAGGGATGTTATTGTTAAAGTGAACTGCTGTAAAGGGAAAGTAGCGGTCACTTACCACGAGGCCGCCATTCTAGCTTATCTGAATGGACGCGGTGGAGCACCCAAGCTCATCAGTACGACTTTCCGCAAAGGCCTGCTGGTAATGGAATATATAAAGGGCATAACACTCGAGAAGCTCATTAAATGTAACGAGATGAATGGCGCTCAGTGGCTGTCTGTCCTCTGTGCCATTGCAAAACGTATCCAAGAGATTCACCAGGCCGGCATCATCCACAGTGATTTCAAGGCCGATAACTGCCTGATCACGTTCGACGAAGAAGGTAACCCTGACGCTCACATCATAGACTTCGGCCTTTCGACGAAAATCGGGCAAAGGTCGTCCTTAAGTTAGGGTCATGAATAGACCTGGAAGTCAATTATAAAAACCAAGCCATGGTATGCTGCGGAGACCTTCACTGGCCTTCCTCTACAGCCAGCGACAGACGTGGTGGCCTTCTCCTTCGTGGTGATGTGTCTTGCCAGGAAGATAATTTGGCAATGCCCGCAGGTTGTCAAGCTCGCGTCAAGCGGCATGTAGGTCCGCATGTCTCGCAGACCGGCGTTGAGTGAATTCATTCGTGCAATGTAGGGTCATGATAACTCGTGTAGATCGAGTTAATAATAATGATAGTAATGATACTGTTATTACTATGCAAGCTAAACCTACTTCAGTAGCCGGGGATACGATGAAGCTGCTGGCAGCAGGGCAGTGGGTGTCTTCTGGATACTTTCAGTCCTACTGTATATAATATAATGGAATGTATAAAGGGCATAACACTCGAGAAATGTAACGAGATGAACGGCGCTCAATGGCTGTCTGTCCTCTGCGCCATCGCAAAACGTATCCAAGAGATTCACCAGGCTGGCATCATCCACAATGATTTCAGTAGAGAGAGAGAGAGAGAGAGTATAAGATCATTTGTACACTTACCCACAGAAATGGGTGCATGTGTGTATACAAGAATACAATGTATACATGAATACAAAAAAAATATTACGTCTGAACATTAGCCTTCACTCCCCCTAAACGAATTAAAAGCACATAGGATGAAGTTGTGATAAAAAGCCTTACCCAAAAGGATTTTTCAGTTGAACTTCAATGAGCAAGTTCCTCTAAGAAGCAATTTGGCTGAAAGACAAGATAAATAAACATTTAAAGTGACACAATCGCCTCCTTCAGCACCAAAACTATCCAAAGCTTAAGATTGGCTGAGTAGGAGGTGTGCACACTCAAAATATTTCACAGTATTGCATGTCCGAGATGTAGGTGTTCAGTATGATTTGTAACCGTCCACTGTACCACCAGGACCACAGGGGACCCAGTGCGCTACTTTCTCATCATAATACTTAGAGATACCAAGGAAATATATATATATATATCACTGTCTTCAAGCCGCCACTGGCCTTGTGTACTTTGAAGGCTTATCCACAAAGATCTACTCATATTTACACCACAGACCCCTTAAAAAATAAAGAAGTGAATATTTTTTTCTCCTTTTTTTGCAAAAAATCATTAAACTTGGTCCCTCCTGGGAGTGAGAACCTTTTGTTAAAGTGTATATATTATGTAATTGATGTGTTTTCCCAAAGGCATATCAATAAATGTGAAGATTCATAATATTATGTTTTTTCTATCATCCTTTGTGTTAGTTAATTACAGAAGATATGATTGTAAAGATTAATACATAAATGCGCACCTACATATATGTATATATATACAGAGAGAGAGAGACACACACACACACACACACACACATATATACATATACATATACATATACACGTGTGTGTGTGTGTGTGTGTGTGTGTGTGTGTGTGTGTGTGTGTGTGTTGATAGTCATATACATAAGGCTTTATCTACAGGTCCACATCAGCATTCTTTGACTTTGTTGCCGTAGTTAGTAGTTTCCTGTACTGAATATGAACAGTAACAAATAAAAAAGTGGACCATTTCTTACTTTCATGTGAATTTGTGAATATGAATATGATCGCACCCGCAGCAAACTCCTTTCCTTAACTGCCCTGAATCGAGTGACGCGCCTTTTACCTGAATGCGGCTTTCTATGACATACTTTCATTAATCGCTCAGTCAGCTTAGATATTTGTGTTCTGCTAGGCTTACCTCATCTTTCAAAGCTTCCTATAAATATTGAGTTTAAATCAGGGCGTGTGCGGTTATGTAAAGTGCATGGTGGCATAGTGGTAAGCATAGCTGCCTTCCAAGCAGGTGACCCGGGTTCGATTCCCGGTAATTATTTTTTTCACTACCTTGTAATACGGATCTTCGATTCCATCCTTCCTGGGCGAAACAGTTTTCTCTTTTGCTTTTCAAGTATGTTGATACTATCAATTGTGGATCTAATTTTGCATATATATATATATATATATACATATATATATATATATATATATATGTATATATTTATATATATATATATATGTATATATATATACATATATATATATATATATATATATATATATATATATATATGTATATATATATATATGTATATATATATACATATATATATATATACATATATATATATATGTATGTGTGTGTGTGTGTGTGTGTGTGTGTGTGTGTACGTGTGTGTGTGTGTGTGTGTGTGTGTGTGTGTGTGTGTGTGTAAATGTACATATATACGTATTTATTATATATATATATATATATATATATATATACATACACACACACACATATGTGTTTGTGTGTGTGTTGTGTTTGTTAAGCATAGGCTTTAGAGCCGGGGGGGCGAGGGGGGCGCGCGCCCCCCCACTTTTTGGCCCAGGGGGGCCAAGTGCAGTTAGCTAGTTACTACACACAGGTTTATCCACTAGCACGTCACTACAGCAGCAACAGGATTCAGTCCCAGACCTTTTGATCCCTTGTACATGCTATACCGGGTATTGAGATGGCCTTCTGACATATTTTGATAAGATACACCAGCCGAGACACTTAGCCAGTACTGTGGCTTGGAACCAAGCACCCATATACACATGCATGGCATTTGTTGTATGCTGTACCACCATGAGAGGACAAGGAGGGTTAAGTACCATAGCTCAGTGCCGATTTGTTACACTGTCATTTAGAGACTAGCATCACCGACTTTAATAAAAGAATGCCTTGGGGTTGGCAATGAAACTGTATTGTGCCAGTCCAATTAAATAATTAAATTAAATTTTCCACACCCCCTCCCCCACTCACCCCCTCTCGGGCGCTTACGCGCCCTCGAATTGAATTCACTCGTAGAAGTGCGCCCCCCCCCACTTTCAAAATCGCTCCAAAGCCTATGTTAAGGATGATGATAATGATAATGATGATAATGACACCTACAGTAATTGTAATAATGATGATCATGCCAACGCCCTGTCTAGAGCCACAGGTAGAACACCAGAGAAAGAAGTCCTGTGCCTCTTGGGGCTAGAGCCGTCACAAGCAAGCATATTCATTTATTCTCAGAGATTTCCCTTTTTTTTTGGATGAATTAGATTAATCAAATTTTGAAACAGTCGGGGGTTCGTGAGAGAGAGAGAGAGAGAGAGAGAGAGAGAGAGAGAGAGAGAAGGATAAGTCCGATATGCGAAGCTGAGCCTCGCCTGGGCTATGGGGGAGCCCGGCCTGTGCCGACTAATGTCGACTCGCTAACAGTGTGTCAGCAGGTGATGACTCGGATGAGCTTAGTCCTTACCCACCGTGGTGCCCAGCCACAGCAGTAACCTCCAGGCGACAATTGCAACTTCTCGCGCCTGGGCGGGGCGCGAACCGCCGACCCCTCGGATGAGAGGCCGACACGTTACCACTGTACTAGCCCGGAGGCTGAGAGAGAGAGGGGGGGGGGGAGTTGAAATTGAAGAGTAAAGAACCGCTACAGTCAGTGAGAACCAGCATTAAAATCAACGAAACTGCATCGTGGAAAATATCACAATTAGGCTACCTCTCGCCTCAAAGCAAACAACTTACCTGTATATTGCTTTGTATAAACTCAAGTTCTATATACGAGTACGTAATTATACAGCTCGTGGCATTAATTGTCTTGGCGCACGTAGCTCGTGACAGCGTGGCCAAGTAATACCACTCCCTTAGAAAGTGAATTCTACTCATTTCTGTATTCTAATTTCTCTCAGATCACGCCAAAATCCGGATTCATTAAGGATAAATTGTACACAAGTACTGCGCCAGCTCGGGAGCAATATGAAGACGCGTTCGGAAGGATTTTTGCTCATGCCGTGATCTCTAAGGCAGTTTGGCGTTGAGGATGGGTTCATACGTGCGTTCGTTTGCATCGGGATCCCATTGTAAACTTTTACCTTTTTTAATGCAGTCCATATCATTATGACCCGAAATGATCTATTAGAAACAGTAGTTACGTCCGTTGCGCATGCCATCTAGCGAGTTCTAATGCTTGTTTCAGATGTAGTTTGTTGACAGTACAATATTTCGGTGGGATGAACTCTCTAATGAAGCTGTTACGACCTCAGGGATAACACCAAAGTCAGTGTTCTACAATAAACGTGTTCCATCTGCCGGAGTTCTTCACTTCCCAACCACCTTCCCTTCACCACAAGGTAAACCCAATCTGCACCTTTTAATTGTAAAGAATATGGATGTAGCAGTCGGATAGGAAAATACGGCGACTGAGAAGGGGTCAGGGGCCAGGGATAGGGATAGGGAAATAAGGTGTTTTATGAGGGGGTGCGAGGGAGGATCCCCCACTCCTCCACCTCCTCCCCTCTTCCTCTTCCTCCCCCTCCTCTTCCTCCCCCTCCTCCTCCTTCTCCTCCTCCTTCTCCCCTCCTCCCCCCTCCTCCTCCTACCCCTCCTCCTCCTACCCCTCCTCTCCCCCTCCTCCTCCCCTCCTCCTCTTCCTCCCCCACTCCTCCTCCTCCTCTTCCGCCCCCACTCCTCCGCCCCCACTCCCCCTCCTCCTCCTCCTCCTCCCCCACTCCTCCTCCTCCTCCACCTCCTCCCCATCCTCCTCCTCCTCCTTCCCCTCCTCCTCCTCTTTCCCCTCCTCCTCCTCTTTCCCCTCCTCCTCCTCCTTCCCCTCCTCCTCCTCCTCCCACCCCCCACCCCTCGCCTCCCCGGATTCTTGTTTATTTTCCTGGAGAAAAAGATGACATACGCCTAGGAAATTGTTGACTTTTGATTATACTTCGCAATCAACTCCGTGGCCATTGTTAATCTGCAAATTAATAGGAGATAGTATCATCAGGATACACACACACTCAAATACATACATACAACCACATATATACATACGCACATACACATACATACATATATATGCACACGCACACACACACATACACAAACACGCAGGCACACACACACAAACACACACACAT